CTACTCGGAAGGCTGAGGCAGAAGGATTGCCTGAGCCCAGCAGGTCGAGGCTGCAGTGGCCGTGAGTGTGCCACTGTACTCCAGCCCGGACGACAGAGTGAGACTCCAACTCAAAAAAAGCAAAAGAAAAATTGTCTCCCAAGACACCAGTCTCTGTTTTGGCTATTTATTGAGTGAACACCTAGTTCTTGTTACCTGCAAAAGATAGGCAGGGGAGGCAGCCCACTCCTTCAGTAACACACGGAACACTTAGTGTGTGGGTTGGAGAGAGACATTTTGCCAGGGGAGGCCATCGCCTGTCCCTTTGAGGAAGACTTCAGAACAAACCAAAGGGAGCAGCCCAAATCTGCAGCCGAAAGGCCCAGGGGGCTGTTCCCACAGGAGGTGGGACTTGCACTCGGGAAACCCAACCTTCTGGAAGACCATTAGCATCCTCAAGGCAAGTCAGAGGACCCCGGAAAGAAAGTTGGAGCGAGCAGAAAAGAGCAGAGAGAGGAGGGAGGAAGCAGCATGTCCCAGGAGCAGTGGCATTCTAAAGCCAGAGTCCAGATCACCTTGGAAAAATCCTGAGGAAGATGCCCTTTGCGTTCCACTCGCCCCCGCTGGATAGGCCCGACGCAGACGGCTCTCCTTCCTTGTTGCCCCGGCTGTTTTCTTCCGCTGAGCACCAGATGAAGCAGCTTTCTCATATCTATCTATGGTGGCCACGCTGCAGGAAAAAGTCAGGCTTCGGTGCCACCCTGCGTGCGCACCCAGGATGAAAGATGCCCTTCTTACGCGGGGTCACCCACAGGGAGCCCAAAGTTGCCTGCACATCCACACGCCCCAGGCCTGGCCAGCTGAGGCAGCAGAAGCTCTTGGAGCTGAATGTGGGCGCAACTGCACTGAACTGTTTAAATGATCTCTCGTTCTCGCTGGTCAGCAATAGGATCAGGTCTGCTTAGCAAATGCGCACGCGCTGCAAATCCATCACAGGGCGAGGCTGGATTTTCTGGACTCGTGTCTGCTGGAAGTTTCTATTTAGCAGCACCTTGGGTTGTATCCTAGAATATTCTAGCTGAAATGACTATAAGAATCATGCATTCCCAGCCCTCTTTCTTGGAATCTGAGGGTACTTAAGGATGAAAGGGGCCAAGGAGCACCTGGATCTATGGGGAAGAATACAGTAGTCATGCCTCTGAATCTGGCTGTGGTATCCAAGGTAAGTTAATCTACCTCTCTGTGCAGGGAGAAAATGGGTGAGAAAAACCGTCAGGGCTCTCTTTTTTTTGAGTTGGAGTCTCACTCCATCACCCAGTCTGGAGTGCAGTGGCACGCTCATAGCCACCCCAGCGTCAACCTGCTGGACTCCGTCGATCCTTCTGCCTCCGCCTTCCAAGTAGCCGGAACCACAGGCGTGTGCAACCATGCCTGGCTAATTTTTTATTTATTTTAGAGACGAGGTCTCACCAAGTTGCCCAGGCTGGTCTCAAACCTGTGGGCTCAGACAATCTATTCGCCTTGGCCTCCCAAAGTGCTGGAATTAGTGCTGAACCACCGAGCCC